ATTGATTGATTGATTGATTTGTTGCCGGAAAACGCACAGTACTGCCCCTTTAAAATGCATTCAAGGTTAATAGGTTTCTATACTGTCATCTCATAAACTAATCATGAATGTCAGGGCCCATATTCACAAAGAATTCTAAGGCTAAAAGTAGCTCCTTGTGACATAATATTAAGAAAAATCTTAGAATTTTACCTTGGTAAGATAAATGTAATTTGCAGTGCATTTTAGGCCTTAAGAAAGCTGCTGCAGTGAGGAGTCTAAGAATGTCTGAAAAAGGAAACGTGGTGTAAGGTCTGCCAGAAGAGCTGTAAAATGGATAGAGGTGTGCCATCAGCAGGCTCTTCTCCTCTGTCCTGTTTAATTTTCTCACACTTCCATTTTCTGTTTGTCATTTTGCCAGATAAAAACAAGCTTATAGAAGCAGCCAATCACAGTGAACTGCTGACAGCTGAGCCTCCAAATAAAATCAAACAGATAAAATGACTAGCATAGAGAGAAGCTGTGATAAATTACAAATGATGATGTAAATGAAGTGTTGATGCAGTCAAGTAATTTAATTCTGCTAACATTAATCATCATGACTCACTTCTTTTAATCCAGTCTAGATTCTATGATTGGTTAATTTCTATCAAGTGATGATGGGGGCATATATTTTTTTTGAGTGTTTTGTTTAGTGTATCAACCAATCACAGTCCCTAGAAGACAGCATATCCCCTAGCAATGGGTCAACCACACCTCCTCATTAAGAGGAAGTTGTCATCTCCTCGCTCAGTGAGTAGGACTCACTGGAAGGCTGAGTGAGGAGCACTGAGAGGACTCTGAGCATGTTTCTCTGGTGTTTCTTTGTTCAGTAGCTCCATGCAACATTAAAGCTGAATAGACCAGTGAGCCTGAAGTATCTTCTTGTTTACCATGTAGACCTGAACAATTCTTAGAGCTCTGTCTGGGTAATGGTGTCAGGGCAACACAGTACCTGGTTCTGCTGTAACAATGTGTTGTTCCTCAGCTGGGTCTGGACATGGAGGAACTGCAGGACATCGAGGAAGACGCCGGCCTAGGAAACGGAGGCCTGGGCCGCCTTGCTGGTGAGTGTTGGGTTAAATCCTGACGGACGTCTTCCAGCTCACAGACTCCTGCTTGTGTTCTCTGCAGCTTGTTTCCTGGACTCCATGGCCTCCCTGGGGCTTGCGGCTTATGGATATGGAATCCGTTATGAGTTCGGTATCTTCAATCAGAAAATCATCAATGGCTGGCAGGTATGGACCAAAGATGAATGATTCTTTTTTCATTCTTCTGGACCAGATGAAGAAGCATCACACTCAGCTTGTCAGAATTCATATTAAGCTTTGTAACATAACTAAATTCACATAAAACAATTCACATAAAACAACCCCCCATTTTATTAACCCATTTTGGTTAATAAAATGTATGAACAAATTGGAACCAGAAATCTCACTTCATTCGCTCACATCTGAACTTCATTCACATCTCTGAAGAAAACCAGAGGGACATCCTCCAAACTGGTTTTCTTCTATCCTTCCTTGTGTCCTTTCTTCTTTCCTCCTCTCTCCTAACCTTCTTTTTACTGCTTGCTGTACCCTTACTCGTTTTAGACTTTCTTTCTGTCCTTAATGTGTTCTTCCTCTCTCGCATCCTTTATTCTCTCCTTTATTCTGTCCTATTTTCCTTCCCTCCTTGTGTTCTTTTCCTACTCTGTCCTTCCTTCCTTCCTTTTTTCATTTCAGTTTGAAGCATACTGCCTGTAACATATCGAGTGAACTTTTGAACCGGTAGTTTATATTTTGTGCTGGTAGTTTGTATTTTAAAGTGGTCATTAAGTAGAAAGAACTCCAGAGATTTGAGTTTGTGAAAGTCTGGAATATCCATGTGGAAATGAAGGGACCAGGATATGTGAGTGGGTTTAATGTTTCACTCACTGATCCAAAATTCTGTGGTGAGGTGTCCACTGGACCACTGTAGCGCGTGAAAGGCAGCATGAAGACATATCAGCAGTGAGTGTGCAGGAGTAACAGCTCGTGGTGTTTCCTGACTTCCTATCCACAGGTAGAGGAAGCGGACGACTGGCTGCGCTACGGGAACCCCTGGGAGAAGGCTCGACCTGAGTACATGCGTCCGGTCCACTTCTACGGCAGGGTGGAACACACATGTGAAGGAGTGAAATGGGTCGACACACAGGTTGGTTGGTGCAGACACAAAAGTCACACAAGTTCTGGATAAAAACTGCTCCATTTGTTTTTTATTCTGCTGTAAATCACTTGTCTCCAGAAAAAGAGAAAAAGTTGAATCTGTTGTTTGTGATTTAGGATTATGAACTGGGCTACAGTCGGTATCCATTCCCAGATAGTTTATTTTGGGCATCATGTTTCTAACATCTGAACTGACTTTAAGGTTTGACAGAAATAACTGGAAACACACCAAGACAGTGTCCTGCTGGGATCCAAACCAAATCCTGGTATACTGATTCTGCTTCCACAAACAAAGAATTTCAGTGTACTTTTGTTTCATGTGATGCTGATATTTCTGGAGTATCATCATCTCACCCAAAAAGAAACTTCATTAGAAAGAGCCCTTTCAAATCCATGGCTCTGGTTGCATTGAAATAAAAGAAAGAAAAAAAACTTCTCCACAATAAGACATGCTTTTTATATCCAGACATTTATAAATGCCAGACTTTTAACTTTTCTGCCAGAAGGACATGGAATAGCTCAGATAAGATGTTGGACTTGCTCACCTTCACCCTCATGCAGTGATGGACAAATGTTTCTAACATACACAAAAGCCTCTGGACTATTGAAGGACAAATGCCAAACCTATACCGGTAACACTTTATTTGAAGGGGTGTGCATAAGACTGACATGACACTGTCATAAACATGACATAACACCTGTCATGAACATAAAGAAGTCTTTATGAATGTTTATGACAGTTGTCATGAAGTGTCATTCGGTAAATAATGACACTTTTAATGCAAAGTTGCTCTAAAAGTTGCATTGAAAGTCCATTAAAAATGCCAACTTTGCATTAAATTATCATAATTTACTAAATCATGGAAACTGATTTTTTTTTTAATATTGTGTAATAAATTCCTGAGGGTGAGACACAACCTCCTGGCTCTGATAGCTGTGAATTCCCACAGTATAACAGAGTTTCAGCTCCATACATCTTGATGGCTCAATTGTGTTGTTAATCAGTACAGTGTTGATAATAATGGGCCTGACATAGAATATCTTATCAGCAAACACACCTGACCTTAACACCATATGCTTTAACAAAGCTTCATTGTCAGGTGTTATTTAGCAGGTCAGGTGAAACATTAGCATATTTTTCTGATTCAGCTGCCTGGCTTTACATTTTAGTGATGTATCTAATGTACATTACAAGTTCCTATTCCAAGACAAAGTTGTTTGAATGTTTGCAAATTTAAAACTTATTCCTTGAAACCACTTACATTTACAAGTGTATAGTTTTCCTTGCTTATGACTGGGTTTAACTTAAAGAACAGACTCCATAGGAGAGAATCAACAACTAATTTTGAAAAGAATTTCATGGGGCTTAATAAAAACACCCAAATTATTATTATTGTTTTTATTTGGGAATTATTATTACATTAAATTGTATTTCAAAGCACCATCACAACAGTTCTGCTTAACAGTTTGAATCTTGGAGATGTGACACATGGGTTTTTGGGAGGATTGTCCCTTTACTCAGAATTGGTGTATAAATACAAATTCAGTGGTAATTCAGATCTAATTGTAGAAAGATCATGTTAAACCTTTTCTCACTGTGATCCCAGATGACTCCCTAAGATCACTGCAGAGAGCAACAGAATAGCCAGAGTAATGGTTTCTGTTGTTGTTTCCTCCCAGGTAGTTCTGGCTCTGCCCTATGACACCCCGGTTCCTGGCTACAGGAACAACATCGTTAACACCATGAGACTCTGGTCCGCCAAGGCTCCCTGTGAATTTAACCTCAAAGACTGTAAGCATTGTTTGCATTAATGCAGAGGTTCCATAACATGACATGCTGAAAGCCTGCTCAGTGAAACATCTGAGGATATGTGGCCGGTACTGAGAGGAAAACACTGACCTGCTCTGCTACTGCCCCACAGTTAATGTTGGTGGTTACATCCAAGCTGTCCTGGATAGAAACCTGGCTGAGAACATCTCCAGGGTTCTGTACCCCAACGACAATGTGAGTCATTTTATTGTTTCTCGGACACAACCCAGCAACCTCTTTTCATTGTACGTTAAAAGCATGACATTGCTGCAGGGATGCACAATATATCGACACTAACATGGGTGTCAGCCAATGTTAGTCATTTTTAGCATATCATATTGGTCCAGTAAATAAAACTGAACTGATATTAACCCCCTAACTGTTGTCCTCAAAGTACTTGCATATTATCCACTGGGTCCTCATGATAGCTTTAAATTTTCTGAGGTTTATAATAGTAAGGGAAAGTTGATTTGATATGATTGTGGATCAGTGCTGCCCCCAGTGGCCTAATGTCATTAAATATTTCAGTCATATTACCAACACTTGATTCAGAAAGAATCAATAACTGTAAATTCAAAGCAGGTTTGTTAGCACAGTATATGGGATGTTCATTTATATATGCTGCTATATATTTTTCATGAAAGAGAAAATAATGTGATCATAACAGCTCTGTGTTGGTTGCTCAGTTTTTTGAGGGGAAGGAGCTGCGTCTGAAGCAGGAGTACTTTGTTGTAGCAGCGACTCTTCAAGACATCATCCGGCGATTCAAAGCCTCCAAGTTTGGCTCCACAGAGTTTGTGCGATTAGACCTGTCTAAGATGCCAGACAAGGTGACGGCCTCATCACATTCTCACATCCATCCTTGTTTATCCATTACTTTTTGAGATATCCCACTTAAAATATAGATACAATATAGATATTGTATTGTACTTGGTCCTAATGCTGCTTTTTCTTTGTGAACTACATGGATAAATCTTAACCATTCCGTATGTTTCATTTGGGATCATCAAGCATATTTAGCTCCACATGCTGTCAGATGTGACATTCACATTTGATGTGGTCCATAATTATCTGTCCTCTTGTGGTTTGGTTGTGTGTTGTGTGTGTAGGTGGCCATCCAGCTGAACGACACCCACCCTGCTCTCGCTATTCCTGAGCTGATGAGGATCCTTGTGGATATTGAGAAACTTGAGTGGGAGAAGGTAGATGCCATAAAGGGGATGTTCTGACACTAAATTTCAAACTGGAAAAGTTCTTGATACTTGATTAGAGTTCTGTCTAATAATGAACTTAAAATATAATCAATTCCAGCATGATCATTTAAATGCCTTAATTATTTAGGGGTAGAAAAATCTAATATAAAGATGTGGGTATGACATAAACAGTAACATAGTGGGAAGATGACACTCTTCTCTCAACATACCATTTTAGACGAGTTTTAAACTTCCAGCAGCAGCTGCTCACTATTTTGATTCTGAGGTATGATTGCTATGTGAGATACTGCAGGGAGGGATGAGGAGCTCAGTGTTTGTGTGTGCAGCACTTTTAAGTGAAGTTGTGTTCTGCCCTGGGAAAAAGGAAATAGTTCACTTTGTTTGAACTTTGAGGCAAATCAGTAAATGTAAGGATGTATATTTTAATATAATTTTTTATCAAAGCATTATTTATTTTGACAACTCTATTGCAGGATAATTTCCATTGGTTTTACAAATCATGAGTTAATTCCACAGCTTATTGGATCTGTATCATTTTATCAGTTTATTCTGTTGTGGAGTCATTTGGTTGCTTCACAACAATTCTGTATTTCTACCAGGTTAAGGTCAGCAGTATAACTGGGCCTTTGCAGCACTGGTTCAACTATACTGCTGGAGATTTGTTGTTATGCTTCAGTATTGCCTTATTACACGACCCTATATGTACAAAATGTTTCACACGTGGATACAAGAACCTGACTTGGCACAGATGATACCATCTGTGCCAAAAAAAGTTCTCATTTTCAATTTTGGCTTCAGATTTTGCTACATATTACTTTAAAGTTGCATGACCATAGTAAAAAACATATGATGTGACATGAAGTTCACCCAACTTATGAAAATGGGTAACATTTTATGACAATAATTGATTAAAAAGCTCAAAAACGGCAGCTGTTTTGAAAAATGGCCATCATCCTGGAATTCAAGTGGTTAATGTAAAATGAAAAACATACGATCTGAGAGGTCACGCATAATAACTGTTATACTTGTATCCTCAGTTGGATACACTGAAAACCCAAAATCACTAAAATCAGTGAATGCTACATGAAATTCTGAAATTCCTCCAGAAATCTTGTTTTGTTTGATGCAACTTTGAACCGTATATTCATGCTGTTGTCTCTTGAAGCGTCTTCCTTAAACCTTTCCGTATAAGCCGTACAATTTTAGCCTTCCTGACTGCTCTGTCATACTCTCATGGTTTGCAGGCTTGGGACATTGTGATTCGCACTTGTGCCTACACCAACCACACGGTCCTGCCTGAAGCTCTGGAGCGCTGGCCTGTCGACTTGTTCCAGAACCTGCTACCTCGACACTTGGAGATTATTTATGAGATAAACAGGAGACATCTGGAGGTACTGGGGGAGGCGCAGATGTAGTAGGACTTTAAAAACTAGTGATCCCGGGGTGTTGTGGTGGCAGAGGGGTGAAGCACAACCCACATATGGGTTGTGAAGCATACAACCCATATGTGGGTTGTGCTTCACCCCTCTGGCTGGGATTCGAAGCTGTCGCAGGTTCAAATCCCAGCCTGGTGACCTTTGCCGGATGTCTTCCCCCTTCTCTCATTACCCACTTTCCCGTCAATTCACTATCAAATAAAGGTCACTAAACCCACTAAAACCTAAAAAAAAATTGTGATCCCAGTCTTTTACTAAACGAAATGCCTACAGTATACTTAACTGTTATTTGAGGCTGATTTCTTTAGCACCAAAAGCCAGACTAAGCTACCTTCAGAACAAAAAGTATTTTCTTTTTAGTTATACAGCGTCATTTCATAATAAATATAATCTCAAGGCACTTAACAAAAAAAGTAAATTCAATCCAGACATACAGATTAAAAGTTTGTTACATCCGTGCCAATTGATTCTAGTAATCAAACAATGCAGTCAAGTTCAGTTTATTGCTCAAATAGGTTAAAACAGTTTTGTAAGTAAACGCCAAGGATTGCATCAAGCCTCTGACTTGCAGAACCAGCACTGAGCCAAGGCATCTGCCATCACAGACCAGGGCAGATGCACATGGCATACACAAAAAAGATGCAGAAGCACTGATCCAGGAGTACTTTCAACGTTAAAAAGAAGATCAGATAGCAGTAGCAGCTCCTTTAGCGGCTTCATCTTGGACGAGTCAAGACAGAAGTCATCCTGCTATTAATGCAGAAACAGATGAAAGTAGAGCATACATAAGAGTGTGACATGAGACGACACCCTGCATGGTCAGGTGTTGACACCAGCACTCATTATAGACTGCAGTCCATAGGTGACACACTCTCAGCACCAAAATAAAGTGTTAAGTAGAAACTGGAAAACACGACCACAGAAAAGGACTGCAATAAATAAATCCATATTCACACCCTTCTACTGACCTCTATTGGGTCCTGTTCCATATAGAAATGGAACATAAAAAAAACAATCTTGATTGGTAATTTTGGATTTTTGGATCTTGTCTTTACAAAATCAGGTTACAAAATGGATCTGGTTATAACTTTTGGCAGAGGTTAATGCAGAGTGATATAAAATCTCTATTCTTCTTCCCCTGTAGCGCATCTCTACCGTCTACCCTGGAGATCATGACCGTCTGCGCCGAATGTCTTTGATCGAGGAGGGAAACGTGAAGAAAATCAACATGGCTCACCTGTGCATTGTGGGGTCTCACGCCGTCAATGGAGTGGCCCGCATCCATTCAGAAATCATCAAAAACACTGTGTGAGTAACAAAACCTGAGTCCATCTTCCTCTGTAATTATCAAGTCTTTGAATTTGATGAACAGTGATGACCAAAGTTTAGACAGTGCAACGGTTGTGGTTGAATATTTTTTTTCAAATGTATTCAAAATACAACTTTTTATATTTTTTCAAATGACTTTTATTTGTAAACGCATCAAATGAATAAAAAGAGAAGGATTATATTGATAATTTTTCATATTCTGTACTTTGTATCACTGGTGATCCTGCCGTGGTTTGTGTTTATTCCAGCTTCCACCTACTTTTAGAGAACTGGCCACAGATTGTCAGTGATGTTAAGATCTGATATTTGTGACAATCTTCTCCATCATGTTGGAAAAATACAGATCATCAGATTGTTCTGGATTATTTGTAGATGTTGTTCTTGGAGGATCCCACTATTGGAGTTGTGAATCAGGCCACTCCCTCAGATAAGAAGCAACTCTGAACTGTTTGTTATTCAATCTGAACTGGTGTTGGAATGACACAGGATTTGTGAACTTTTCTTCTCTGACAAGAGATATCTAGACTTCTCTAACAACTACAAAGATGATTCGTCAGACAAACTAAAAACCTGACCAGTCTTCTGCTGTCTATCTTTGTACTTTGTGCTGGATTTCAGTCTTTCCTTGGTAGATTCTTAGACAGAAGTTAGTCGCTGCCTTTCTTGTTAAAAGGCTGTTTTCAAAAAGAGCCAGTGTGCCTGGAGAGAACCCCATATGCACAAGTGGAATATGCAGAAACTCCATGCAGAAAGACCTACTGCTGCAGTTCAGTGCAAGATTTATTCACCCTCATGGGACAATTATCTTCAGACCTTCTTCTGTGTTGAAACAAAGTGATGATGGCTGCATGATTTTATTGGAGACAACTATGGCTAACACAAGAAAACTGATTTCAAGCACATCTTTTGTATCCAATTAGACTGAATAAGCTTCATCTGGCCTGATGACATGTCAGATGTCAAATTGAGCCATGGACTTTTGGCCATGGCTCAATTTTTTTTTCTTTTCTTAATGTTTTGACCTTATTTACAAAGAAACACATCTGAGTGTGGTTGGACCTCTTCTCCAGGTTCAAGGACTTCTACGACTTGGATCCTCAGAAATTCCAGAACAAGACCAATGGGATCACACCCAGGCGATGGCTGGTCATGTGCAACCCGGGCCTGGCTGAGGTCATTGCTGAGGTGTGTGCTGATGATCTCTCAGGATTATATGGAAAGTCATTTTAGTTTTATATTTGAGTAATTTACCTAAAAAAATAATCGAATTCTAAATCAAAGCCTTTTGGCTAACAATTGGTTATTTTCTTCCACAAAAATTATATTGAAATATGAATAATAATGAAGAGTTGACAGAGTGACAGCATAACGTTTTAAAGGATGAACGAACTGTGCGTGAGTTGACCCCAGCTGTTGCTTTATCTTGGGAAGTTGTTCCGTCTTTGTAGACCAATGACATGATGATGATCTGTATCATCTGTTAGAGAACTGCAGGAATTTTCTTCTTCAGTTCGACTCATAAAGTTCTTTACATGTGCCTATATCTTTGAGTTAATTTTTTTTTTTTTGGTAAGGTAATTTTATTTATATAGCACATTTTCAGCAACAAGGCAATTCAAAGTGTGAACCGTTCTCAGGAAATCTATCTCTGTATTGGTTTTATAATTTTATGATTAATATTTTGAATGAGTTTTTATTGGTTTTACTTTAGTTAAGGTTTTTATTGTAGTTCTGTCGTACTTTGAGATTTACGTGTAAAGTGCATTATAATTAAAATCGTATTATGTTTCCGTGTTATTTAAATTTTTTTGACTCACTCTCTGACCTGCTTAACTTCCAGAGAATCGGTGAGGATTACATCTGTGACCTGGACCAGCTCAAGAAGCTTTTGGATTTTGTGAATGATGACGCCTTCATTAGAGATGTTGCAAAAATCAAACAAGTAATTGCTGAATAATTAAATCAGGGTTTATTAAATTTATTTTGTTTGGTTTTTACATTGTGTCTGTCTGCTTGAACCTTAAGGAGAACAAGCTGAAGTTTGCTGCCCACCTGGAGGAGCACTACAAGGTGAAGATCAACCCCAACTCCATGTTTGATGTGCAGGTGAAGAGGATCCATGAGTACAAAAGGCAGCTGCTCAACTGTCTGCACATCATCACATTCTACAACCGTAAGCTGTGCAGAAATGAATGTAGGTTTGTTATTTGAGGAGAAAAAATTTTAATGTTAATGGTGTTTTTTTTCAATCAGGTATTAAAAACGAGCCCAATAAGTTATGGACCCCTAGGACTATCATGATTGGAGGAAAGGTAAGCAGCTCTGTTCTTTTCTCTGAAATATACTTGCATGATAGTTGCAGAAGATTAGTAATTAAACATAATCAGTGTCTGTCCCCACTACACGCAGGTCAGGTCCCCTGTCTATAACCCCGTCCCCTCAGAAACCTGAAGCCTTTACTCCAGTTTTGATACCTTCAGTTATAGTCAGCACTGTTAGATATTGGTATGTTTCAGTTTTCCCATCACTATGTAAAAAATAATTTCATGGACAAGTAAGATTTGTACTGTGTTAAATCTTACTTGGTCTGAACTGGTTTGCTGCATTTTTCAGTTGCATATCTGAGCAGATAGTGCCTCCCTAATTGGCCTAGTTAAAACCAAATGCTGTATAGAAAGACACATGACATTTTAAAGAAAGTTTATTCCAATTTAATGTCAGACATTGAGAATAAAATGGCTGAATGTCTTTTAGTCAATACTTGTAAATCCCTGCTTTCTGTTCTACTATACATATTTAATATATGATAATTTCCTAAATATAGGCTATGAGACTGCCTGCTAGCCTACACCAAGCTAAGCTAAATGTAGATCATTTTTAACTATCCAATATTACTGGCTTCATTTCAAAGTTTTCAACCTTTTTCAGGAACATATTACTGTACAGTTGAGCACAGAATAGCTGATCAGTTTTATCTGTCTGACCTGCTGTGATGCTTTGTCTTTATTGTTTTCCATAATTTTTGGTTGCTATGTTTCCAGGCAGCTCCAGGCTACCACACTGCAAAAATGATCATCAGGCTGATCACAGCCATCGGGGATGTTGTCAATAATGACCCTGTGGTGGGCGACCGCCTTAAGGTCATCTTCCTGGAGAACTACAGAGTCACTCTGGCTGAAAAGGGTAATTAATAAGTGGTGCTTTAAAAATATAGAAATCCATATCTGTTATTTAGTTGGCAGCTGCAGTACACAGACTGGTCCTGTCTGTGTTGTCTGGCTCCTGTGGAAGCCAGAGTTAACTACAGTGTGTTCCATACGTTTCAGTCATTCCCGCTGCGGACCTATCAGAGCAGATCTCCACAGCTGGCACTGAGGCCTCTGGCACTGGGAACATGAAGTTCATGCTGAACGGCGCCCTCACCATCGGCACCATGGATGGAGCCAATGTGGAGATGGCAGAGGAGGCTGGAGAGGAAAATCTCTTCATCTTTGGCATGAGGGTGGAAGATGTGGAGGCAATGGACAAGAAGGGGTGAGTTTCAGCAGGATCTGTTACCCTGAATAAATATGACATCTGGTCATAAAAAAATGGGTATCCTTGAAGTTTTTATTTATACTTGGAGTTTTATTCTCCTGTCTTTGGAAATACAGTAATAGATCAATCTAATCTATATTTATTTTCTCCAACAATCTGGACTCTGTTTGGATGCTTTATGATTGACATGTTTGTGTTTCTTTTGTTTCCATATCTGAATATTGATGTCTTGTCAGATGACATGCCATGACCTTTTGGTTTGCTTTGTCTGTGTCTTGTCCTCAGCTATGATGCCATCTGTTACTACAACCGTATCCCTGAGCTGAAGCAGGCCATGGACCAGATATCTGCAGGCTTCTTCAGCCCTGGAGAGCCTGAGCTTTTCAAAGACCTGGTCAACATGCTGATGCACCATGACAGGTAATGTGGAAAATCTGTGGAAGTTGTTGGTCACACGGCTACTTTTGTTGAATGTTATCAGCAATGTGAAATGGCATGAAATGATCATCTAAAATCATGACGAACATTTGAATAATTTGGCCCACTTCATGACTCTCAGTGGTTGCTTGTGCTGCAGGTTCAAAGTGTTTGCAGACTATGAAGACTACATCAAATGCCAGGAGAAGGTCAACGCGCTCTACAAGGTCAGTGGGTCAACACTTAAAGAAATGTCTTCACTAGGGCTGCACCGACCGCAATTATAGATCAAAGCAGAGTCTTGCGTAAAAATGGTCCAGTCAAAGTCTAGATCCAAACTCAATTGGGAATCTGTGGAAAGGCCTAAAAATTTATATTTGTAGATATTCTGTCTAATGTGACAGGACTTCTTGTATTTCTGTTAAATAACACTCACACACAGAATAAGTGTTGTTTTTGATGTCTCCCTCCTCTCTGTTTACCAGAACCCTAAGGAGTGGACCAAGAAGGTGATCCATAACATCGCTGGCTGTGGAAAATTCTCCAGTGACCGCACCATCTCCCAGTACGCAAGAGAGATCTGGGGGATGGAACCCAGTTTGGAGAAGATTGCTGCCCCAGATGACCCTCGCTAAAGCGCGACAGCTGCTTCTATCCTCCACTGTAGCTTGCCATGTGCTTAGCCTCCCCCCACACCCACCCCCCACCCTGTAGCCTCCTCACTTTGCACTGTGGCATTGCTTCCTGACAGGATGAGTCTGTCCAGCCTCAATGGTTCCTGTTTTCTCTCTTCACTGGAAGAACATCTTACTAGACAGGGAGAGACTTAGTTTTTAACTTTGAAGTGATTTCAGTAAGATGATAGAAACTTTGCTAACTTGAGTTGTTGAAAATATCCTCTATCTGTTGTTATTATTATTACAACAGGAACAGTAAAGACTTTCTTCCCTTTTCGGTGTTTTTGGTTAAACACAGGGACGTTTTGACCTGGATTCCCACATTCCTCCACTGAAAGCCAGCAGATTAACCTCAACACTTTTCTTCCAAACATGTTATGTCTTGTTGTAGACCAAGGAAGGGAGGGAAAGGTCAAAGGGCATCCCAGTCACATGACATTTCAGTGACTGGATGGCTTTAAAGGAAGCCATTTTTCCATATTTGCAGCATGTCCATGTTTATGTGAGGACTTCATATTAAAGAAATATTGACTGTTTAGTGTTTTCTGGTGTTAGCTGAATGTAACCATTTCTCTGTAATGATATGAATATATAACTATAGAGGAGAGCTTTACTGTATTTAGTTGTGATCTCATCAGCATGTTTGTGTGGCTCATTCATGTTGTCTTCCTAAAAGTGATCTGTTATAAAATAAAACTGCCTTGTTTAACAGTTTTCCTTTGGAAGATGTGTGTATTATCTACTGTTGGTGTGTGTGTGTGTGTGTGTGTGAGAGAAACGGCACACTGTACTGTAACTTCATTCTGTTGTACCTTTGCAGCTTCCACTTGTCTGTCTGCTGCAAAATGGCTAAACAATCAGAAATCTGTTTTGTTTTAATAAATGATGAAACTTGGAGGACTAGTGGACTCACATTTCAACACTAGGCTACTGATTTTTGTGAAACTCCTGAAATTAAATCAAAACATGGAAGATTTCAAAAGTAAAGTAAGGAAGAGAGAAGTAGGAGACACAGAAAACAAAACCTCTCCAGAACCACAGTGATCAAGACAACTCAGATCTGTTGATGATGCTCTTGAATCTCCCTTTAATAAAACAGAACCTGTAGCTGATGCTGGCCTCAGTCAAACAATTGAAAGAGAAACTGCTTCTTAGACACTATGATTTCATCTTTTATTCTTTTACTGTCTGAGTTTTTATTAGTTTTCTTTCTTTTTCCTTAAAAAAAAAATATATATTTATATTATTTATTTTTTTTGCATTGCTGTATTCCTACAGAAATTGCATTGTTGTATAAACAACATTTTGGATTAATTAAAACAGTCAAGATGCACTTTTTCACTGCTCAGAATATTAATAACTGTTGGTTTTTAAACAGAATTTTGTTCAGTTCAGTTTATTCACAGCACAAACCTAAACCAAAGTACTCACTTTTGTTGAAGATAGTAACACAAAAATCATCAGAAGACACTTTGCAGGTCAAAAACAAATTAGTCTCCTACAATATATGTATCTCCTAAATAATAATTATATAAAAAATAAATTAAAAATTACCCTTAAAACTCTTTACAATGTGGACTTGAGGATAAAATAGCTGATCAATCATCAGAATAGAGATTACTAATGATTTTTAACATATTTTCCCATCATTCTGGGGAAAAAGGTATTAATCAAATCATGACATCACATCATATTCCCTCTTTGGTTTCCAGGATCTTCACTTTGCTTTAAATCTTTGTCTTTAGTCCTACCCACATGTGGATGACTGAGAGTCACAGCCTGTCCCCACCTTCAGACCCCGCGCTCAGATTAAAGGCTCATTCCGCCCTGCAGGATCTCTTGCTTCCCTCCACCTGATCTCCATGGAGATGGACTGCCATGCTTATGGTAAGACTTATCTCTTTCATTTCATTTCCATAGGATAATGCATTTAAGATAAATTTCACATTATTCATAGTCTACAAAATGTTGAGCAACAGACTGCTTATGGATCATAAACACAGGATTTAACTTCATATCAATTTATTCGTAGCATAATAATAAACAACACTAAACTATGCAGGTATATTTCCAAACTGTTTCAGAATAATTTTTACCAGTTTCACCTGGTAGTGCATTACAAGATTATTCATCAGCAAATATTAAATGATGATTAATATCATAACATCAGGAGTGTTTTGGAGTGTTGACCAGGTGTGTGTGTGTGACTGTTTTACACACTGACAATAAAAATCATTTCATTAGAAGTTTAATGCGTCACTCTGCTGATGTTGTGAGAACAAATCTGCTCTTTCAGCCTGTATTAACGAAACCAATAAATTAACATAACTCACAATATTAAATTTTTTAAACAATTTCTAGGTGCTTTATATTGAAAATAAAAAGACAGTGGCCAGTTTTTATTTTGGGACTCAGTCAATAAAAAAATATCTCTAGATATTAGAGTGATTAAAAAAAATCTAATTAATTGCAGGCTTTGGAATTAAAGAATCATAATTCATCACACTTAGCTAATAGCTATTTAAATTCAGTTCAGTTTTGTTCCAATGCTGAATCAATAAACAGAAATATGTTCATCAATGTTTACAGTGGAAAGTGGAATTTGTAGTTTTGTTTGCATGCAGGGGTTCGTCCAACCTTCAACAAACAGATGAAAATGTCTAACATAAGTAAAGTTGCAGTTTTACTCTTCATATATTTCTAAATCATCCAACTATGATAAGAAAATATTATTTTGTAATAATGGTGCAGTCATTACAGACACCGCATTTTATTAGAAATGTGAGATTACAGGTTTCCTTTCATCTCGGTCTGAATGCTGCATAATTACCCAAAAGGCAAAATAAAAAACAGAAATCATTCTGCAATAAAAGCATGATAACATAGCAACACTGGCCTGATCATCTTAAACTCTGTTTTCTCATCTTGTCATCGTCACCACATATATCAGATTTGAAATGTTGCGGCTTTGTGGTAACATTTACTTATAAAATCTACCCTCACATATGCCGTTATTCTTATGATCATGTTGATCATCTCTCCATCCATCACTGTGGTTCATAGCTTCATGGCTTCATGGTGTTCTGCACCGGCCATGGATCATAGATCAGGCCAGTCTATCTATATTATATTATATTTATACTGAACATTTTATTTTTATAACCACCTTTGTACACCTGTAAATACATATTTATACCCTGTATAGCACTTTTGGAAAGATGCAAACTACATTTCGTTGCTTGTACTTGTGACGGTGCAATGACAATAAAGTTGAATTCTATTCTATCATTTATTTGCACTTGAACATCTGAGGTTTACATATTCAAACATTAATTCAGATGTTATATTTTTACACTCCTCAGTATGATGAAATGCATTAACTTTTTTTTAGTCTCTTATAAAAAAGAATATTCTTTAGCAATTAACTAATGAGAATTGATGGGTGAATGTATAATGGCTGATTCACTCAGCTGTCTGGTACCCTGTATGGTTGTTTTTTCTTGTATCCTAGAGCTAGACTCCATAGATGTCCCTCCTCTCACCCCAACCAGTAAGGAAGTCCTGAGCAAGGCTGTTCAGGCCAGTTTCTCTGGTTTTGCCCAGGAGATTATCAACCACCACTTTCCACAGGGTAAACTTTCTACAACCTCAACTTGGTTTATTTCTGGGTTGTTCTATTTAAATGGATTTGTATTATGACCTCTGAATTATGTACCTCGTGTATCTACATGTCTAGATCCAAGCTTGTGGTCAGAATGGGAGGTGAGCCACTGGTTGGACTGGTGCCAGGCTGAGTTCGGCCTCCATGGCTCAGAGCTGAGGGGTCTGCAGGGCAGCCAGCTGTGTGGGCTGGACAGGGAGGCCTTCCTGGGCCTGATGGCCGACTGCACTGCAGGAGAGATCCTGTGGGAGCACCTGGAGACCCTGAGGGGGGGTAAACAGTTCTCAACTCAACACATCCAGCTGTTCACCAACAGCTGGGCTGCATGTTCATACAAATATAAATGACTGATTCTGCTGAGTCCCACTGCAATGACAGAACTGCACAACAAACATATAATGATGATGTTTTCCCTTCTGCCATCTTGATAACATATAGCATATATATATGATAGATAGATAGATGGATAGATAGATAGATAGATAGATAGATAGATAGATAGATAGATAGATAGATAGATAGATAGATAGATAGATAGATAGATAGATAGATAGATAGATATTCTCCAAATCATAGTTGAAAGTTGGATTGAGCTGGTACCAGACATTTTATTTCATCATTTCTTTGTATTAAACTCTAAATCATTTTTTAAAATCTGTTTAAAGTTGCTGATGTTGCTGTGAAAGCTATGAGGATCACAGTGCAGCTGTTATTGTTTTAAAATAACTCCTCCAGAGAACGACCATAACTTCAGCTCTTCATTAAGCAGCAGCAGAGCGTCATGTTCCTACCAGCTTCAGCACACAGGTAGCTCTAGATTTCTCTTTCCTTTTGACTGTCAACAGCTCAGTAGCTGGGCTCTGACCAGCGTTACAGTTCAGTATCTTTTCCCCTCAGAGAACTACTCAGACTACATCCAGGATCAACAGAATGAGAGACTTCACTATCATTCAGCTCACAGTTCAGACCTCCACACTCTGGATCCAGTTTCTGCCCCACGTGAAGGTCACAGTCTGATGAACGCAGAGGAATCCATCAGTTCTGCTTTTCTGATACCAGAAATACACAGAGGTAAAAAACCATCATTCATAAAAAAACCTCCTCATTATTATTTCATTGTTGTCATTACAGAAGGGCTACATCACTTTCTACAGTGAGACTGTTCACTTTCAACTAGGAGAACTTTGTTACTGTTGCATGTCTGAGTGTGATAAAATCAACACAAAGCAGAATAGATGCAAGCTTAACATTTACTTCACCAACATGCAGAAAATCTTCATGCTGACGGACATCTTTTATTTACATTCTCCTTCCAGCCTCCAATACACGAACGAATCTTAGCATTTGCCTTTTTTGTGCTACATTGAAAATAATAAGATTTTTTGCAAGCCTTTAAGTACATTTAAAAACAAAGTTAATAACCTTCAGCTGCTGATTTGGCTTTTGAAAACCTCCAAGTTAACAGCTACAAAAGTAATGAAAATAAAATGGAATTTAATTTAGTTCACACTTCCATTGCATCTGTCCCTGCAGTCTGACTCACTTCTCACATAAAAATCACTCAACACAGTTTGTCATGAGGTAAGAACACTTGATGAAAACATGCAAAAGCACAGGTCAGAACATCATGGACACATCATTCATGAATTTAAATAAAGAACAGTCCTGGAGGAAAACCTGTTAGATGATCAGTTTCAGCAGGAGAGTAACCTTAAACATACAGCCAGAGTTAGAGTGAAATGTTAGATCAAAACAAATGTATGTGTTAGAGTGGCCCAGTCAAAGTTCAGACATTAATACAATTGAAAATCTGTGGAAAAACTTGCAAACTGAGAAAAATGAACAAAGCCCAGAGGTCGTCTCCCTCAGGTTAACAGCTAAGTGCCTCAGCTGGAGTTTCTCAGCTAGAGAAGAGAAACATCACATTAACAGAACTTTACATAATTCTTTCAATAAAAATAGCATTTTTTAAGTTTTATTCTTTTAACCCATATACTTTATAAAACAGTGAACTCTGACCATATCTTGAGTTTCTGTCCCTGCTTTCTTGCAGAAACACACTTGGAGGAGAGGGTTGCTACCAGCAGACGGCCCCGCACCGTCAGGCCACGGGCTTTGACTGTTCCCCTCACTGATTTACAGCCTCTGGACGACAGAGTGCCTGATGATGCCTTCATGCTGCCACAGAAACACGGGAGCTTCAAAGACTATGTAGGCAGCAAAACACATGTGGGCAAAGCTGTGATACCAGCAGCCATTTTAGCTGGTTACACTGGTTAGTACAGCTGTGTGGACAGAGACACTCATTTTGTCTGTCCAGGTTTATGCATTAATCAGCTGATCCTTCCTCCCACAGGTAGTGGGCCAATCCAGCTGTGGCAGTTTCTGCTGGAGCTCCTAACAGATCGCAGCTGTCAGTCCTGCATCAGCTGGACTGGAGATGAGTGGGAATTCAAACTGACCGACCCTGATGAGGTAAGAACCTGCTGATCTTCCTGTTGGTTCATCTAAACCATCTCTGCTGATCAGTAACAGGAAGGTGACTCAGTTTAATGTAAAACAGAGACTCCTATCAGAGGGACTGAACAGCTTCACATAAATAGAGAGAGCAATGGATCCAACAGTGAAAGTTGAGATATTTCTTTAGGTGGGGTTCTGTGAGTAGCTATGAGTAGTCAATAGCCTCTTTCACAAAACATTCCTGTTGTAAACCTGATGCCTGAGGTTCCTCTGGCCATCCATAGCAAACAGGTGGAGCTTCTGAAATGAGCAGGTCTGCTTCTCATGCCGGCCATTTTACAGTAACAATGGAGGCTGAAGTCAGTTTAGTGAAACTGACTGAACGGTAGCTTAGGAAGGTAAACTTGGTCAGTTTAGTGAAACTAAACTGACCAAGTGCTTCTAATTCCTTCTAGTTCTAATTCTAAAACTAAAATATGTTTTCCTTTCAACTCTTCTCATTGGATTCTGAGTTTTGTTTGTGCTTTCAATAAGTTAGCTGATGTTAGTCAGACTTTTCTAGAGGCAAGCTAGCTTCTGCTAGGTTCAAGTCAGTTAACCTTTACACTCTGGACCTCACTTGGTAAGTCTGACCCATCAGATCTTACCCAGAACACAAGCAGACGAGATACTGAAAGGTTCATTAAAGTGTTTTGGTGGAAGGAGCTAAAATCTCTCCTGCAGGTGGCCTCTTAGTATCCCCTCTTCTGCTGAGCAACAAGACTTTTTCATTAGATTCTCACCACCAACCTGTGACTACAAAACTTCACTGTGCTGAACCACACACATTGTTGAGGTGACCAAACCATGATCTAAAACAGTCACAACAATTTAAAAATTAATAAAAATGAAAAATAAATAAATAGTCTAATTGCATTGTTCTTGTACATGACGGACACAGATTGCATTTGTCACATTGTGGATGTTCTCTGACGACTATTTGTTTCCCAGGTAGCTCTGCTTTGGGGAAAGAGGAAAAACAAACCCAAGATGAATTATGAGAAACTCAGTCGGGGCCTGCGCTACTACTACGACAAGAACATCATCCGCAAGACAGCCGGCAAGCGCTACGTCTACCGCTTTGTGTGCAACCTGCAGGGCCTGCTGGGATACGAGCCAGGGGAGCTGCATGCCATGTTGGACGTCAGCAGCAAGACGAGCTCAGGAAGGCAATAACCAGAGACCAGTCCAGCAACTCTTTTTTAATAATATTTTATTATTTTTATATGATTGTTGGCAGCAGAAGTGGTGGATCAACATGCTCTGTCTTTCACTGCAAAAATGTCCAAAGAAATAAACATATTTATATTCATGTGGCATTATTTTTTGGGGTGAAGTTGAAGTAAAAAAGTTATCATATTATAATTATTATTATTGCAGGAGTTCCTATGTCCCTATGTAGAGGGATCCCTGCTCCAACACAGCTAAAACAAATAGCTGAAATATTTCCTCAGCATGAAGTCAAGTTATGCAGAGGTCTGGTCATTTGACTGAAATGTTCTGGAGAAGAGATGCAGACAGCAGCAGCTACTATGTCGCCTTTTATTATTATTTTGACGGACTAGCTACGATTATGAAAATTATTTTTATTAGCTAGAGGCTAAATTAAGAAAGACACTTTTTGAAGTGTTTTTGAAGTGAAATTCAGGGGTTGTCTGAATTTCCACAATATGTTGGACAGTCGGCTTTTAAACTGTATGACAGGTAAAATATTTAGAGTTCCCTTCCACAAGGTTTTCATAATAGTTGCTGGAATTTAAACACACTCCTCTGTACAGAACTGGTAGAACTGGGTTAGGTTTGTAGGTCACTTTTCTCACACACTCCTTAAGCTCTGTCTGCAAGTTATTCATGGGAATAAAAATCAGTACTTCGTGTTGGAGTGGCTAATTTTTTAAATCTTTTCTGGCTTGAGATGTTGCTTCACTATAATTAGATCCAATTCAATGCACTTCATTATACCAATTCACAACAAATGTCAAGGTCCCTTACAAAAAAATCCCTTCAATTAAATCACACATACATTCCAGTTGATCCTAGTTATCATACAATATGCTTATTTAATTATTCAAAGCAGATTCAAAAGTTACTATAAGGAAACCCAGCAGAGCATCAAGTCTGACCTGCAGGGTTCAGTCATCCTGGATGAGAACATAGAGACAATCACTTGTGTTGTCTCATTGACTTTACAGCAATCCCTCATACAGAGCGTGCATGTAGTGACAGTGGAGAGGAAAAACTCCTCTTTAACAGGAAGAAACCTCCAGCAGAACCAGAACCTGGCTCAGTATAAGCAGCAATAAAATATATTAAGGTAAATATTATAGATCTCTCTCATTATTTTTGGCATTTAGGAAATAGAAATAAAACTTTTTGCAGTCATAGCTAATTTAAAACAGAAACAGTTTAATATAAACTAAAGTAACAGGAATAAAGGTGATGTGTGAATATTTCTGGGTTCCAGTTTTTATGAATGTGGCTTAGCAAAAAGGGGTTGCCGCTTTGTTTATAATTTTTTGCTTGTTTTTCAGTGTAAACATTCGTTCCTAAACTTAAAGACTTCTGTACATCCACCCAGGGTGTCAGAATGATGGAAGAGTTCTGCATGAGGGTGGAGCACAAATCAAGGGAAAGGAAAATGTCTGAATGCAGTCATTTATGATAATGAATCCTTTATTCTGTTTATTCAGTGTCTACGCAGCCATATGTAGAGATCAGAATGTCTTATTTTAAAGTACCAGCTGACTTGTGATGTGATTTTCTCCATCACAGAGCAGGAGAACTGAAACAGGCAGAGGGAGGATTACTTCCACCACTCACCCTGCCAAGAGCTGCTAATGGAAGAGCCGAGTGTCTGGTGGTCAGCATGGCTGCCACTCAGAACGGAACAGAGCTGAACAATCACATCATCCATGTCATTTACTCTAAAGGAGGGGGCCGGGGGGGATGTGAGTCACAGCAGCAACAAGAGGGAACCACAGAGAGGAGCTAATGTTATCCAAACCATCTCTGGTTTTACCTCATGATGACACATCACTACATGTACCTGTAGAGCACACAGTAAGGCCCAAAGGTATTCCTCCCACAGAGGAATTAGATTTAGGTTTAATCTTTTAATTTGTCCACAATGTGTCTTCTGACTGGAAATAATAGTAATGTTTTGGAACGAGAGAATGGAATCTAAAAGGTAAAGATGGCGCCGAGCCTCAATGTAAATCCAGGTAAATAATCACAATACCAGTGGAAACATTCAAACAGGCGTTTCTATTGATTATTGAGAAAGGTATTAATTAATTTTGACTAAATAGCATGTAATAAAAAATAGTTACTTTAGTTTTTTCGTAACTGCTCTTTCTTTTACGATGTTTTATCATCTTTGAATAAATGAAAATCATTTTAGGGGAGGTTCTCCTTCGACCCCAAACATACAGGGAAAATTTAGATCAAAGCAGATTAATGTGTTCAAATAATGTAGTCAGAATCCAGATTAAACCTGTAATTTGTGATAAGACAGTAATGATCACACATGCTCTACATCTGATATCTATCTAAAACCATGAAGACTTACAATGTCTCTGCAAACAGCAGAAAGCCTCTGGGGGTTTAATTAAGCAGTTTATAGCGAATATAGTTGCTGAAATAGTCACTGGTCGTATCAGTCTGTCTAAGTCAGCTGGCACAGAGTAAGGCCCTGAACAACCAGACTCGTTTTGGGGTCCGATCGGGTCGGATGATGGATGCAGCAGTTGGTACCTGTTAAAGTCAATGATCACTAACTGTGACCCTGTGACTACAACTGCTTCTCCAACTGACGTCTTTCCTAGTTGGAACTATGCAACAAATTGATGGCATGAGTGACACTAAGTGCGACATGGAGGTAAAACACACCCACTTTGGGGCAAACACAAACCAAAATCTTTTACTTGCAGAAAAGGTAGTGTGCTTATCCATGCTAGCAGTTCAGAAGTACAGAAAAAAATGAAAGAGTGAAACAGTGATGTTGTTTAAGCAGCTTTGAGTTTACTGCCGGACTGGCTTGTTTACATACTCTCACATGAATTGTTATTGTTGTTGAGTTGATAGACAGTCCAGTTAGGGACTGTGTGTCAGATCGAAATCAAAATCTGATCAGATGCAAGCTGTGTGTTTTGGGCTTAAAGGTTGAAAAAAATGGCATTTTCATTTCTGACATCTTTAAGGTCAGAGTATTTAGCAGAGAATTTTATTTTCCAGTCCTTAAAACAGCTGTAACCAGTTCGATTCCCAGCTGAGCCAGGGACAGCTGGCTTTTCTCTTACTGCCTTTATTCCTGTCCAGTTAAAGTTGAATAAAGGCCACTATTGCCATAAAAATATCACTTTAAAAAAATGTGCTGTATACAACATTGGTAAAATGTTTATCTGCAGGCTAAACATGCAGATAAACATGTTTATCTGCAGGCTACTGCAGATAAACTGTTATGCTGTTATGCTGTTTATCTACTGTTTATCTGCAGAGTACTGCAGATAAACAGTAGCCTGCACAGGTGATATCACAGGTGATATCAAGATTTTTTTATCAAGAGTTTTCAGGAGTAAAATGAGGAACCAAAATCCACAGGTGGAGAAATGAACCCATGCTGTATTATGTGTTAGAGGGCAATAAATCAATAAAGCAGCCTTGCCGTTGTCTCAGGTATTAAATGAAACTGCTTGGGCTCTCTGCAGGAGCTGCTGGTTGCATTCATCCAACACAAACAGCCACATGAGCACTGAAGTGAAAATCGGTGAATTGACTGAACCAGTTAGGTTCCATTAGTTCAGCCACCACCAGCTGATCTCACTGAGCGACCACTCTGGCTTTCTGAGCCCCCTGAGTCTCAGCAGGGGGTTCGCCTCATGTGCTTATTTAGTTTTTGGCATGGAACCCTAATGTTCATCACATTCACAGTGGAAGATCTGCTGTCAGCTGGGACATGGGATGAACAAGTCCCACTTTGTTAAAGAGCTTTAAGCACTCAGCCTTCCTGACAGTGAGTCCTCCATAGAGCTGCACTTACTGTTTCCAGTTCAGCTTATTGTCTGCTGGCAGTATCACAGCAAACAGGAAGTATATTTAGTAGCATGAATAAATACTTCTGCATCCAGAATCTCTCCAGTAAGATAACATAGTGACCCATGTTAACATATGAGCCATCCAGTCCTGAGCCATGTGTTGGATGGTGAGTCAGTTACTGTCTGGGTTCAGGTCTTGGTCAGGAGTCTCTCTGCATTTAGAATCAGAATAAGAAATCTTTTTTGTCATTGTGCAAGAAAAAAACAAAACTTTAGAAATAGCTTTAAAAAATGTGGTGTTCATATTCCACAGGCAGAGCATCTACCCCCATATTTACCAGTGAATAAACAGATGTGATTTATATTGTAGAATATTTTGACATTAATATTTATGATCCTTTTAGCATGCGACTAAGACGACTGTAACAGCATAACAGTATAAAAGCTATTTACAGGTTTCTGAAGACAAAGCATGACTGCACATCCGAGATGTGAATGTTGCTGTTGCATCATTTCCCAAAGATTCTCTATTGGACTGATCAGGAAGAGATGAACAAGGTCAACAACGATACTCAGGACATCAGGTTGGCTGTTTAAGTGATGCTAAAATGGCTCACAGCACCTGCAGCCTCAAGATGGATACATGTCTTTGCTTTTATGCTAAACTGGGACACAAAGGTCTGAATGATCTCCTATTGTCAAGTTTTAGTGAGTCTATGCAAACTGCTGCTGTACTTCATCTGCTTCAAGGTTCAAGATGCTACAAGATCAGATATGTTTTAATTTATTTGTATTTCTGGTCAAGTGCCTTGACACTATATTTGCTGTGAATTAGCACTACATAAATACACCCGACTCCTCTGAGCTCTGACATCAACCAGGCAGATTCAACTGCAAAGTTGCTGCTCAAACTAAATTTCCCTCTTTTGGACCAATCTCCGCCAACTTGAGACGGTTGCTGGTGATGACCTCAGCCAATCATCAGTTTGTGAAAGAACTAAACCAGAGAATCCGGACAGATTTCCCATGTGGCAGTCAAAGCCACTGAGATATAGATAACTGTATTTTTATGCTGTAAATTACTTTTAAATATTCTAAAACCCACTTTCCTTCTTAACATCTGATAATTTTATAATTTTTATTTAATATGTATTTATAATATGAAACATATGTTTCAATTTATTCTAAATGGTATTTGCTATTTATAAATCAGTTTGTATCCCTGCTGTTACAGTCGCCTTCCCTGAGGTGGCAGCAGAGAGCACAGACAGATAGCCAATCATTCCATCAATCCATATGAAAGATTTACTGAGTGGGTCTGTTCTTCCTTCACTAGAAAATGAATTTAAGGATTTACCCAAATGCAGAAAAAGGAAGGAAAGTGTTTTATTTTCATTTGCAGTAGATTAGTATCAGTGGGACAGACGGAACAATAAGGTAGTTGGACATTTTCACATAATCCAAAAACAAGAAGCAAACGGAAGCAGGTGGAAATATGTCACTGTTGCTTCATCTTGTCCCAGTGTTCTGGTGTGAGGGTCTTCTGTTCAAACGCATGGATTGCCTTCAGCTCCTCTGCAAGACACATGTTCACCATCCTGCAAACACAGACAGCACCAGTTTAAGGTTCCTAGGGAGAACGGCTCAAAGTGAGATGAGTGTGTTTACAGCAGAGCTCAGCAACAAACACCTGCAGCTCTTAGTCAAACTTTGAATGTTTTCTTCTGTCTGACAGAGACTTCTCTAGAGTCATCCTCATACTCTGGTTATTCTGCAGGATGGTGAACAAAAGCTGCAAAGCACACGTTTGCTTAGCTTGATGATTTTAGTGTTTTAGATCACAGCATTTCCTTCAGAAGCAGACAGTGAGGAGAAGTAGATCACAGCTGTAAATAATGTGTAAATGAGGCTGGGTGGGCCTCAGGGACTTCTTTAAATTTGCTTAAGTGGAGTAAAACATTTAACTGAACTTCAGAAAGAAAGCTAATAACACGTTAATCTCACATCACAGATCTTACCCTCTTATTAACTGATTTCTAATCCAGTCCAGAATCCTAAAACCTTCAGAATGCCTCCTGTCTTTTCTTTTATCTCCAAACTACACACACTTCCAGCTTCACCAGGAAATGAGCAAACCACTGGATTCTGCTTCAGGTTTTCAGGATATGGATGTACGATATATCGGCTTCCACATCGCTATCAGCAGATGTTATGCATTTTTTAACATATTGGTCTGATAAATAAAACTGGCAGGACATTAACAACCAAAGTTTTTTTTTCTACCTCGTTGCCATTTGTTGGGGGGCTGGCTGGACTGTGGGGAGTTAAACTGGAGCAGAGAAGAAATGTATAGTTTGATTCCAACTGTAGGGACCTTTGCTGCATGTCTTCACTCCTTCTCATAAATTCAGGTCTTTGGAATTTATTCCACATCTATCCTGATTTTTGCAGATTGTGAAGGAAACCCAGGTTACATCCTGCCAGGTTTCAGTACCATCATGTAAACCATGTCATCCTCTCCTCCCTGTGCATCGTCTGTGGCTCTGGATGGATGAGCCCAGGTATTTAAACCAGAAACTTCCTCTAATTAATTTTAACATTTTATTTCCAATTGGAATAACTAAAAAACATAATTATCAAAAAATCTGAAACAAGGATTTGAACTAAACGTGAACGGCAGCTTAGATCATTGAATGAGCTATCTAAGCTAACAACGTACTTGCAGATGTTTGGGATGTTGCACTGGAGAGACATTTGAATTATGAGCTTTAAATCTCTACTGATAAGTGGACTATGTTTGCTATAATATTCTGGTTCATACACAAATATTTTATTCTAGCACTGATCGTAATGCACATGGAGAACTAGATTTGAAATGTGTAAGTAACCTTCCACCATGTAGATATCAGAAACTAATAAAACGTTCCAGCAGCAGCAGCTCAGCTGAATCCCACCTGTGTCTTTGTAACAATGGTTTCCCCTCAAACTGCGCCGACACCACCAGGACTTTGAAGCTGGCTGCACATCTTTCTGGTGAGGTATCCTCTACGTCCTGAAAAGCACAACATCAACGCTTACTTCACTGACCAGCATCAGAAAAACAGACAATATGATCAGAAATCTGGTTACTGATTAGATAAACTGTCCATAGAAATGTTCCCTTTGGGAAAAAATAATTACTGGAAAAGTCTAACTGAACAATCTTTGTGTTTATGGGATAAAAAAAAATATTCTATTTTTTTTATTTAGCCAGTAATTCCACACAATAAAGCTGCCATGTTTATAACAGAGGATGAAGGAAAAGGCTGCATAGAAGCAGCTGTCAGGTTCTCTTATCACCAGGTTGCTCCCCAAAAGTCAACTATGTATTTGCAGGATGCAAGTAATGCTGCAGCTCTGCATCTCTCACTCACCATTTTCTCTACTTTGTATATTAATTCCTTCAATTCATTAATACTTTATTTTTTTCAAAGGAAAATTAAATATTGCTGTAGCTCATGACATCTAAGGATCTTTTCCTTCCAGCTCTCAGTGCAACGTTTTTTCTCTGCTCCTGCCTCATTTGCTTTGCTTTTCCTCTTTAAGTCTCTGGCTGTTTGATTAGAGAAACGTTGGAGTCCAGGGTAATGCCCAGATGTTAATTTTACAAATGCTGATCAAGATCAACGATGTTAGAATATGACAGACAGACAGAGCTTATATAATGGTTCCCGTAAAGGAGCTTGCTGTTGTTGGGTGCTGCTGACTGAGGGAATATGGAATATGGAGAACTGGTCTGTTTTACAGGTAATCAAGTTTGAATGTCCCCAAAGCAAAAATTGTCCAGATGGCACACACTGGCACAATGTTGACAGTTCAGATTGGACTCTGCCAGGCAGAGTGGCAAAATCTAAATCCAATTAAATACATTGAAGCTCATTTATTGTTTAAATTTAGCATGTTGCTTTTAATTCTTCCAGAATGGACATAGAACACCGCATGCTACAGGACTGGTGATCGTCTACCCAACTTACATAGGGCAGAATAAGTCTGAGATGTTTACATACAAGCACTCACTGAGGATTGATGATGTATCAGGTTCTGAAGGGAGCAGCCCATTTCTCAGTGGGATAGTCAAAGTGCGAGTGAATTTGTGTGCCTAGATGCATGGGAAAGCCAAGTTTCCTTTGGAAATGGGATTCAATCCAAAACCCTGAACAGCAAGCCAGAAAAAGATTACAACCAAAGGGTTGTTGTGACCTAGTTAAAGCCACAACTCAATCCGATTGGCTAAACTATTGCTATGATGACCACTGAGTCTGATGGTAGTGACTGAAGCAGCTTAACCACACATACAACAATCAAAGAAATGACAGAGAGAGACCTACCACATGCACTGCCTCGAGCTCCTTAATTAGCTTCTCCCGGATGTGATCTGCTGACACTGCCATGTCTATCTGAAACAATACATACAGAAATACTGACTGTAGATCAGCTTAAATATCTTTAATACGGTTTTATTCAAGACACAAAAAAACAAACAAAAAATTAGAAAGTCAGCGTCCAAAGACTTCCTGTATTAAACAATTTACATGACAGTCCATGTGTGTGACTCTCATAGTACAGTAGAAGCATACATAACTAAACGCTACCTGTGATCTGCTGATTTCAACTGGACACCGTACAACCGGTTACGTTATTATGGCCCAAAAAGAATATCCAATTGACTCTTGGCTATGACCATTTTTAGCCAATCGGTAGCCTTCTAAGCCGTGACGCTATTTTCAAAACAACAAATGATCATCGAAATAGGAGTCCATACAGAAAAGACAACAAGATTCTTTTTAGTGATTGTTGTAAGAATAATTTTAATTACGTATGTTGACAGCAACGTGAGAGTATACTTTAGATATTTTTTAAAAATAATGGGATTTTTTGTCTTCTGCACATAGAGGGGGTTATTTCCAACTTATTTGATCAGGCACCGTCAAGGTCCACTAAAGGCTGACAGGAACTGAACAGGAACTAGTAGTGACAGAACTGATACAGAAGCAAAACATTATGACATTACCATAACATGTTATTAGCTTTTAACATTTCCCCTAACTTTGTGAACATTATTTCACTCGTTCATCAACTATAGCCATGGGTCATTTCAATTAACGGTTGCCACCGTCTCATACGGAAGTTATTAAGGTTTTCATGATGGTCGTGGAGGTGGAGAGCTTCTTCGGTGTGTACATGCTTTACTGCACTAACCCAAAATTTAAAGGCCGTATCTACATCGGCTTCACGGTCAACCCTGAGCGGCGGATTGGACAACACAATGCCGGGAGGCACAGAGGGGGTGCCAAGAGAACCAGTGGCAGGGGACCGTGGTAAACATACTGTTATTCAGTTGAATTGTGTTTACAGTTGGTAATATTTAAGAATGACCATAACTCTAATATGCACCTGTTCCTCTGTGTTGCTTAGGGAGATGGTACTAATTATCCATGGATTCCCTTCAGATATAGCTGCCCTGAGGGTGAGTCCAGGTTCCAGAGTTCAGGTCTGCATCACATCACAGTTAGTGATGTCCAGTGTAGGAGATACACACTGTTGCTCCGATCGCATCTTTTACAACCCAACAATCTCTGCAGGAATTTTCACTATGCCAGAGAAAACCAGCTTGTTCATCTATCCACTATCTATCAGTTCCAGCATATGTTCCCAAATGTCATCATCACAGTGACTCTACTGTGTTCTGTAAAATTTTTCCTACATATTCTGAAAAAGCCTTTTTTTAAAAATGGTCCCATTCATTCATTCATTCATTCATTCATTCATTCATTCATTCATTCATTCATTCATTCATTCATTCTAACCCTGTAAGATCCAGTGTTGTAATATTACAGCATCTCTATTTCCAACACAAAAATGTTCAAATGTTGACTTTTCTTCTGTTTTTTTATCCAAACTTAGAAATTCAATCATATTCTTGGAATATTATTGAATATGAAATGTTCATATGATTTCCCCACACATGATCAAAAACTACCACACCTCCAAAATCTCCAAAAATCTGAGTGACTGTGCCACATTAATCAAAAAGGTTGTAGATAGGATGTCTTGATTTTTTGTTGTTGTTGGTCATTACAATGTCTTGAACATATGCATGTGTAATTTTTGTGCAAGTTTGTACAAAATATTTTTTAAAAAGTGTACTAAAAGTTTACGTCATGCCTTTAATTTTTTAGCATGACACAAAATATTTATCTAACTTCCTTAAGTCAGCACAGGGAATCTGTTAAAACTGAAGATGAACTTTTGTGTCATTTAATGCAGTTATTGTGTGTTGGACTGGTCTCTAATCCACTCAGGATCAAATTATGCAAACAGGTTAAATGTCCATTAGCACAATCTTGAGAACCCTAATGGAGCAGATCCTGTATCATGCTGTATAGTTCAGTTTGAATTAGTATTTGTTTTTATCTTGATTTGCATTCTTTCAAATCACAGTGAGTTAAAACTTGCTTAACTGATTGACAGGAACACTGGTGTCTGACTTTGAAATGGATAAATCAGAAAAACACTTCTGAGATTGCCTGGATCATAATCCTCATATATAGTTATATAGTTTAACTTGTATGTGTAATATTGACTATGTGAGGAGAAAATGTGGAGAACTAAAATTTTTGTGATTAGTTCATGTTGTCTTTCCCTGGCAGTTTGAGTGGGCGTGGCAGCACCCTCACTCTTCCAGACGACTTTCCCATGTCTCCCGACGTTCCAAAAGAGAAACGAGCCTGCAGTTCCACTGGCGCGTCGTCTCCAACATGCTGCGGGTGGCGCCATGGAGCAGGCTCCCTCTGACTGCCCGCTGGCTCAGACAGGAGTATAGGATGGACTTTGACCCCGGCCTGCAGCCCCCACTGCACATCCCCATCGCCTTCGGCAGCGTGAGGGCCAAAAAGAAGCAGTCGCTGCCATCTGCAGGTGAAGATGAAGATGTGATGTCTGTGTGTTTCCTTTGCAAGGCGATGGTAAAGGTAAGAAATGTGTCCTCAACAAGCTATTTATCCACGTCTGGCTGGTTTGCTCCATCCTGTCCTCCTCCTCAGGTGTCAGAGAAGCTAAGCTGTTTCCTTCCTTCCTGTGGGATGGTCAGTCATGTAGTTTGCCTGGCCAAATATTTTCTAAGGTCCGAGCCGTCCCACCTCCTGCCTGTAGAGGGACAGTGTCCTTCCTGCCATGGCTCGGTGCTGTGGGGGAGCCTCATTCGCCATAAACACGGCTGCCTTGGAGACCTGGAGGAGGTCATTTCCTCCACATCACAGGTCAGATTGGTACTTCAGTGAAACCCCTAAAGGCTGTGTGTTTGCTCACTAACTGGTGTTTGTTGCTCCTACAGAGCCACTGGGCAGATGAACTGCAGATGTGAAGAAAAGGAGGCTGCAGTAGAGACTATAAGAGTGAACTCCTGCCATTAGTGCTGAAGAGTGTATATAAATTTTACTGTCTCATCATGAGGTTTTTAATTCTTTCTTAACTTTGTAATATGGACAATCATTAAATTTTCCCACATAAAAGATTAAGGAAATAATTTTATTGCTTCATTTCAACAGGATGTGTTCTATAAAGCTCTTCTGTTGAACATGTTTTCTATAGCTAATGTGAAACATGTCTTTTTTTGTGTTTTTGTTGTTTTCGGGACCTGAAAAGAATAATAGAAAATTTTCTTTATTTTGTCTGCTTCACTATTTAAATGTATGTATATAACTTTTATTTTAAAATACGTTTTTAAAATATTTGTTAAACTATCACCATGTTGTGACAATATGAGCCAGTGCTACACTGTAGCACTCTTCTCAGTGTTACAGTGGCTGTCTGAAGAAACGCACCGCTTCCAGTCAAAAACAGCCAGGGATTAGCATGTTGGATGGATGGATGGATGGATGGATATTCAGATATTCACTGTTTCACATTTCAAGTATCAGATCAAAAGTTCATTTGCGATATCAATGTTTGTTTATAATACATAGTTTTCATCTTTTACTGGGCACACCCTGCACAGGATGCCAGGGCATTCTGTGTAATGTCTATGTTATTTTGTGCATTACAGGCCCAAAATAAACATGACATTTATTTATATTGATACAAACCTCAGGTTAGAAGGGTAAAGGAGATGAGGTGAATGAAAAAAAAAAAGTTACAAGAGTTATTGGGAACTGTGTATGCATAGAGACTCATTATTCTTTCAGCTGATTGTGTTTAACAGAAATTTAAACAAAATTTTCCTGCGGAGGAAATGGGTTTCCTCCGCAGGGTGGCTGGGCTTTCCCTTAGAGATGGGGTGAGAAGCTCGGTCATCCGGGAGGGACTCAGAGTAGAGCCACTGCTCCTTCACATCAAGAGGAGCCAGTTGAGGTGGCTCGGGCATCTGGTCAAGATGCCTCCTGGACGCCTCCCTGGTGAGGTGTTCCGGGCACGTCCCACCGGGAGGAGGCCCCGGGAAAGACCCAGGACACACTGGAGGGACTATGTCTCTCGGCTGGCCTGGGGACGCCTCGGGGTTCCCCCGGAGGAGCTGGAAGAAGTGGCTGGGGAGAGGGAAGTCTGGGCCTCCCTTCTGAAGCTGCTGCCCCCGCGACCCAACCCAGATAAGTGGAAGAAAATGGATGGATGGTGTTTAACAGTGTCTTGGACACCAACGGCTTCACATGTTTTACAGCTGATCCTGTCTGTACCGCTTAGCATGACAAAGAATCTGACTGAATGCAGACCTGTTTACATCCATCTTACAAAGGAACATTTCCTGCACTTAACACAAGCTGCATTCCATCAGGCCATTTCAAAACATCTTCAGTGTTCAAATGTTATGCACTGTGTGTAGACTTTCTAAAAGACTGAAAATGGAGAGCAAAAAAGGTAAAGTTATATGTGGGGTAAAAACTATAAGTTCGATATTTATATGTTTTAGGAGTGCATTAGTGGTTTGACTTTAAGCAAAATAATTAGAACTATAGTTGGCATAAAATAAGGATTAGTTGAGCTTTAAATCTGCAGCTGCACATAGTCTGGTCATCCTTCTTTCTGCTGGTCAGCTGGTGATTGGATCGTGATCACTGGCTGCGGAGGCAAAAAGAAAAAAAACATTTGAGTCTTATAATAATATTGTTAGCTTAATTTTGTTTTTATTTCTGAAAACTAACATACAATACCTTTAAGATGTTTTTATACATCTAGAACATATCTACATTTAGGTTTAACTAGAAAATACATTGAATACTCAGAATATTAGAATAATTGTAATTTCAATTATTTTTTGAGAAAAAATAATTAGTGGGATGAATGAATATGTTTTTTGTTTAATACAGTGGAATGTTTGCCAGTTGTTTTCCTGAACCTGAGATGTTTGAAGGTTTACATTCTGTTTGATAAACCAAACCGGCTTTAACTCACAACCCTCTGCCTGAGCTGTGTGTTCAGCTAACCGGGGTAAACCAGCTTCAACTCTGGAACACATGGCTACGGTGTTCCAGATTTTTACCTGCAGCTAAAAATCACATTTTTGATTATATCTGTTAAAACACTTCATTTTCCAGCAGTAAATAAGCGGGATAAGACATTAATATGTGTGAGAGGGCTTCCTATCTTTTTATGTGACTATACTGAAATTAAAGTGACCCTCAGGCAGACACTCTTATCTCCAATTACGTCACTTCTGAAGTGAATTGGTTGCATTGGATTTTTATTTTAATAAAGGGGGCTGAGTCAGCAGTATATAAATCGAAATGAATTAAAGCCAAACACAATTTTTAGATTTTTATTTGTAGTAAAATTTCAAAACCGTGCAGTCATTTTCCTTTAGCAATATTGAAGTGCATTGGAGTACACTGTTGCTCTGACACAAAATAATCCATTTAAGTTTGGTAATGTAATAAAATAGGAAAGAAAAATTCAAAGATTATGAATATTTATGGAAGATACTACAAGTCTTCCAGGAAATGTGGATGTGCAGCATGAGTGTTGTTTTAGAGGAGAAACATTTCATTATATTTCAAGTATTCAAATGTTCAACAAAATCAGGACAAAAAGTGTTGAAAGGCCCTCTGAATATGGCAATGCATGTGGTCCATAAAGGTGGGAGCAGACAGCTCCAGGTTATAAGCCAGAAGTGTTTGTTAATTATATATTTGTGTTTTGCTTGTTGAAAAAAGCAGTTGGTGAAGCAGTTTATTTGTTATTCTTTGATCAACAATTACCAAAGTGACTGGACCAGAATATGAAATGGACCAGTCCGATGGATGCTCCTACAAAAACCACTGAATGCTGAAAATGTGTACATTACAGCTTTTTATTCTCTTAATATTTACAAAAAATATATGTAATCAAATATCAGTTTTCAGTTGGAATGTACAGAACAAATATCACAGGAGAAAAAAAATAGCCCTGAAATGACTAATTATGCCCTCAGTTTTTCTAACCTGACATTTTAATGGGGATTAGTTTTTTTCCTATCTTTCCTCCTGAAAAACAAATAGTAACACTGAGCATAAACAATCTCCCTTGGGAATCTTCATTATCGGTTTACTAAGTCAGTTGGTTTGTGAACTCACCATTTTGTTGGCCGCTCCACAACAGTTGACCACCTTGCAGCAGTAGGCAGCCAGGGTGGCAGAGATGGCCAGCAGACAGGCCTGGATTAGAATCCCTCCAGCAAAGAAATGGGAATGGATGCTCTGAAAGTGGATAGAATGAGTCAGCATGAACTACAGCTAAACTCCTGAACTCAGACATCAACTCCTTTCATATGTTACACAATATCAGTTAACATCCAAGATTCATTCTTCAGTTCCTAAAACTGGACTTTACTTCTCATATGAACTTGAGGGTGTGGTTTTTAGGAATATTATTCAGTCTTTACCTCAACCTGCTGACAGATTGTGTTGTAATTATATGTACTGTTGACGGTGTTTCTCTCAAAAGAATTAAACCAGCAGTTGGTGGATGGGACTCCCAGAAGTATTATGGTGAAGATCATGTTCAAGAAAGAGGCAACACATGCCAAGATCTGCATCACCAAACAGGCCGTGAGCTGTCACAAAACAAAGGTTTTTTTATATAAATATAGATTGCTTTGAACACATTCACATATTAAACAGCAAAAAAGAATGAACCTCTCACAGTAAAGCCATCATATAACAAGAGTCAGTGTCACCATAAGTTTCACTTCTGTTTCTCCTCAGCAGCTGGTTGCTGGAAACTGCTGGTGTCAGTTAGAGGGTTTTTCACAGTACTCTGATTTGCAGCAGTTTTGCATCCTGTTCCGATCATCTCTGGTTGCACAAGATTACCAGTACCAGTACTGCCAAATAAAGGAAGATGACTGCAGAGTCTTTTTAACATTTGCTCTATTAGTGTGAAGAAACACTTTTTCTGTGTTCAAAGACAAACAACAGCTTGTACAGCTTGGCATCTTTATTGTTCATTTGTTGATATTTTCATATGTAAATCTGACCTTTCCTGTTCTGAGGCCAGTTCATCTAAATTTGTTTCATTTACTGAATAACAGAAAAATAAGATACAATACAAATTTTCTTAGAGTACGGAAGTTTAAATACTTACAATTTGGTGGATTGCATTAACTGTAAAACTTGTGTCAAACTTTTCAGATATCCTTTAATATTTGAGATCTTCCTCTCAGCCTCAGAAGCTTCTTCTTTTTTTTAGTCCATTTTAGTCCAATTACCCACCAGAACAGGATAAGGTTTTTGCTCCTGACAGTATTTTCAAAGTGTAATCTGGCTTTTTATGCTTTTGCTGAATGTAACATGTGAAACATTTACAGAACACAAATCTAGTTTTGTGTTGCAACACACAGAAAAGAAAAATTACTTCTGCTATTTGAAAAATCTTTAGTTGACTTTTCTTCTTTGTTTCAAAAGACAAAGATCTGAAGAGAGATGTAAATTGTATACAAAGTTTACAACATTTACCATTAAATAAAGAAATGTGGAAGCAGTGGTAGAAGTGAAGCAATCTGAAATGTCAAATTAAAATTTAACAATAACAAAAACTAAATTTGTCAAGCTAAAAAAGTGCAGGAGCAAGATTGCCATGAGAGGTGGTTACAATAAATATATCTATGTAGAAATTATTAATACCTTTTAGCAAATACTGTGCCATAAACTACATTGCCAGGTGTGCCCTAATTGGACTTAAAGCTGTAAATTAACCTGCTAAGCATTACAGAAACAAAACATCATCATCATGACAAACTATTTTAAAGACATCTTAATGTATGTAAGTTCCAGAAGTCAAAAAGGAAATATCTAAAAGGACTCTAGTTATTCTGGCATTTGGCCAAAAGAAATTGTTTTGGAAAAATCAGGAATGGGAATTCATTTATGATTCCTCCAAAACATGGACGACCATCGGATCCAGACCAGCAAACAGTCATAGAGTTTGGATGATTATTTAATAACAGGTATTATGTAAACATGATGAAATTTCATCTGCTTTAAAGAGGGAAATTGTTAAAAATGTAATAGCAGGAGGAAGGAATTTTAAAGGTGAAACTTTGAGGATTTTGACAAGTGTGATTGGTGAAGTTAATGACATGAAAAGTGACAAGAAGAACATCAAGCTACGCTGCGTTGCATTTGTTCAGCAATGACTTACTGTTGGCAGATGTAGGTTCTTTGCTGCAACAGCTACACTCCCAGCTACAATTATCTGCAATGACAAATCATGATCATAGATAAATTTAACATTTTTCTAGTTAACCCATCGTCATAGCATTAAGCAGAGGAACACAGCAAACTATTGCATGCTTGGGGTGATAGAAGCATTATTGTTGGGAAAAGTGTTCATTATTCTCAGTGTAGTTGGGCACTATCATGCACTGGTTGAGGAAATCAGAACATTCACTTTGACGTTTTTGCTCAATGTACTGTCAAAATTATATTTCTTGTTAAATATACTTGTTTAAAATTTTTGAATTTCAAACTGAGAGCTTATTTTTCTGGAGTTTTGGGAGAACTAAAAAAAACCCCCTCCAAGGTGCATCCCACATTAAAGTATATAAGTACCTAACTTAACAGCGCTTATAGTCGGCACCAGGTGTTTGCTAATTGTTGCTGCCTCTAGTATGTAGGGGGAGTTTTGTGGAAATAGGTGGCGCTTTGTGAGAGCAAGTGTTTAGGCACCCCTGAATGGTTGCCATGGGATATTCAAGGACTCCACAAACATGCAGGATGAACCAAAGCAACACTCCATCTGTGTTTTGATGAGGGAATAACATTATAACATGATATAAAGGACAGAAAAGTATATTTTATATAATGCCCCCTTTAAACCTTGACCTGCTTCCATGTCCTTGCTCAGTAACAACTGTTAGTTTGGCATGTAGGCCAAATCATTTATTTTGGTCTCTAGAACTTTCGCCCTCATATTCCCTATATCTCTGGGTCATATGACTATATGACTACTACTGTAAGGCACTGTATCCACTGTACCATTGCCAATAAACACCTTGTGCTAGTATCTGAGTGGCATTATGTCCAAGATGACTGGTTTCCATCTGAAAGGCTGAAAACTATTATCATGCATTATTTTAGAATTGAATAACTTTGGATGAAATGCACCGTCTGTCCAACTTGTACTTATAAACATCAGAGTAATAAACAGTTTTTCTGCAGCTATCATGTCTGGATGTGTGAGGTTTCTCCAATGGAAGTGTGAGCTGCATGTGCATCAGTAAAGAACAGTAGAGGCTTCAGGTGAACCTCCAGTTTGATTCTACTGGGCACTTACCAGCAGGGAAAAGAAGAGTAAAGGAATATCTGATTCAGAAGAACTCAGACCTTTAGCCCTAAACAAACTGAGACTGATGATCATATACACACTGAAGCAGATTTGAGTTATCTGTGGAACAAAGAAAAAGTAGTTCAATTAAGGCTGCAAAATAGTTGAAAAGCAAAGACTTAAACATACATAGACCCTCACACAGCATACCCCAAGAACTTTAGGCTCAGCTTCCAGATATTTCTCCTTCCTTTTGGCATTCCTCTGAAACGTGACGGCAACCAGCGGGCTCTGGGCTGGGCTGGCCCCTTGCTCCACAGCTACTGTCTCATCTGAAACTAACACTGCCACGTTTAGTCAACAGCCAATGTTTGATACTTTCACTGTGCATATTGTGGAAATTGATATGATTAATTTCAGCTTAGTTAGTTTAACACCAACATAGAACAAATATTGATCGAACAATTTACAAGACAAATAAGATGTCATCACATGCAGTTGTGATGTCACTTCAAAATGGGTGTCATTTTTTTTCATCCAGGTTGAAAAATGTTTAATTGAGATGAAAATATATTTCTGGAGAAGCTCTTGGACACAAAGGCAGCAACACACACAGCACTCTACGCTGTCAAAAGTTTCTGCTTGTCTACCTCCGCAACTTGAGTTTCATTCTATTTTTATTCCATAAGTTTCCATGAGAAGTTAGTGTATTAATTTATTCTGTAACAACTTCAGCTCTTTTGGAAAGGCTTAGTTTGTAAAAAAAAAAAATATATATATATATATATATATATATATATATATATATATTT